AAAAAAAAAAAAAAAAAAAAAAAAAAAAAAGTTTTGCTGTCCTTCCCCCAAATAGAACGCACAGTCGTTATCACTTTTTCTCTAGACTGTTGGTGTTTGACAAGTGGTGCAGCGAGGCCCATAATGACCGTTCGTTTCGATTCGGAGGGGGGGGGGTGAAGACAGTACCAGGCTTTCCCCCAATAGAACATAACAGTCATTATCGCTGTATCTCGACTTGAAGTTGCCCCAAATGCATTCATAATGACCGTATGTTCTTTTCCAGGGAAGGCAATACCAGGCTTCGCCCGAATGCGGAGCACAGTCGTTATTGCTATATCTAGACTGAATGTTGCCCCAAATAGTAAATACAGTTATTTATAAATGGCAATATGTCCTGCTTCGGGGCAGATCCGTTCCCCACTCTGCTACCATCCATGACAATCAAGGAGTTGAGCATTCAAACATGTTGCTTGAAACATTTACATACATTGGGCGAAGGAAGGTCTCCTTCACAGACTGCGATTGTACTCTTACGGAGTCGAACCTATTTGGCGTTTTTTTTTTTTTTTTTTTTTTTTTTTTTTTTAACCAGGCTACAGTCTATTCGTGGACATGGTTTCACTGGATCAAGTGACCAGTTTCTTTTGTTTTCTCTTTTCCTCTTCGCAATGGAAGTCTCCACTCATCATCCAGGTTCGACAAGCAATCTGTGTATTCGTAGATACAGAAGAGCATTCGACCTACAAGACAGATCCTGTTCAAGTACCGTCGTAGCTGACAAGTTTCCCGCTTGGACTTCCAGGGGCAAGCAAGCTCAGGACACGAAGTGAGCAAAGCCGCAGGCCCAACTTTAGTGAGCCCATGCAAGACAGATGAGACATTGGATCTCGTACTCGACTACTTATGTTTTGTAGTAAATTTGCACTAGAAAAAAAAACAGTTTCCATTTTTCGTCTTAAACCACTAGTACCTCCGCGCCTATTTTCGACAAGCGCTGGTCTACCTCCGAACTTTCAGGAGGCCGAGCCCGCCGTTGATAAATCCGATCGGCGGTCGTCGTTTCGTTTCGGCCTCCGACCTTCGAACCGACAAAGGTACTAGTGGTTTAAGCCATGGGAGCCTCCTCTATGTTCTTCTCGCAAGTTTGATCAGCACTGTTTTTTTTTTTTTTTTTTTTTTTTTTTTTTTTTTTTTTTTACCAGCACTGTTTCATGACCCGGGGACCAAGTTTCCTTGAGTAAGTGCTTCAAATGCTTCTAGGCAAGTCTTTGGGGTTACTACATAGTATTCCAACCTGACGTTCGCCTGGGAGTGCATTTGCCACTCACTGATTTTTCCCAATCTTCTACAGTTTGGTCAGTGATTCCGAGCGCGATTTTCTCTCTCTGGTTTCGCACTTAAACGTTTACCCAGATCCCTTCCCACGATATTGAATACTTGAGCTCTACCGTCTTCACCCGAATAGAACGCCCGGTCATTATAGCTGCATTTAGCCCAACTGACAGTCCAGATGCAGCGATAATGACCGGGCGTTCTATTCGGGTGAAGACGGTAGTCCTAGACGAAGAAAGAAAGAAAGCTGAATTAAAAGACAAAGAGGTAGAACATTCATCGGGTCAACGAAGGAACGAGTAAAGTCAGAAAAGCAGGCAAGCCACTCGTATCGTTACGTCGAGCACGAATTGAACTCCTTACCTCTTCATTACCGTCTTCACCCAAAGAGAATGCCCGGTCATTTTATCTGTATCTAGATTCTAGACTGAAAACTGGCCCGAACACTGCGACGATGGTGACCACACACTCTATTCGCGGGTGAAAATGGTAGATATCGGAATGGCCAGCGCGGCCCAGCGGTCTCGTGCACTAGCAACACCTTTCCCTCTCTTTTTTTTTTTTTCAAACCAAACACTACCTTTCAGGCTGGAAGGCAAAGCCGTATATACAACCTATACCGCATTCTTCAGAGGCCAACGGAGGCCGGGCGCTACCGGACCAAAAGGGATGGCGGTGCCAGCCAAAAGCAAACAGAAAACGTGGCGCTGGTGCTTCGGCCAGCCAAAGCTTCACGTGCAGTTCTCCGCCTCGGCAAGAAGAGGCTCGGAGGTAGTAATGGTTTAAGGGCAACCGCTTTCAATCTTTAAGATATCATCATCGAACGGACCGGCCCCAGCAAATGGCAACAGAAACATGTCTTCCTCCCCCCCCCCCCCCCCCCCAAAAAAAAAAAAAAAAAAAACAGAAACATGCCAAAGTTGCATAAATCATAAACAGCTTGGAGTCGCTGGAGGTTCTTAAACCAATTGGAAGCACATTTTTCATGTACAATTGCATTTTCAACATTGATTATATGGAATATTATTATATTATGGATTTGAACTTCGGTCGGTATTTCAACAGTTCATGGGTGTACCAACTGAGCTAGGCCTGTTGGTCTAGGAACACATTTGAATGAGTTGACCCATAAAAAAGGTTGCGCGACCGGTAGTGCGGCGTGCGGTGAATTCTTTTTTGTTTTGGCCGAGGGCTATTTACAAATGTCCTTACAAAGTTCAGGAAATACAAAAAGCGGAAAGAAGCCAGTGTCTTTATGTTGCCAGAGTGTCTTTATGGGAAGGCGCTACCTTCTTTTCCGAATGCAGCGTACGATCATCATAGCTGTAACTAGACTGAAAGATGGCTCACATACAGCTATAAGGACCGTACGTCAGGGTTGCACCCCTGCCGACCGCCGACCCCGACCGCCAACCGTATTGCAGCCAACCAGTAGGGACGACCAGTCGGCATTCAGTCAACCAGTCAGAAAACAACCATCCACCTGTCTCTTATACACATCTAGATGTGTATAAGAGACAGCACATTGAGAGAGAGAGAGAGAGAGAGAGAGAGAGAGAGAGAGAAGAAGAAGATTACTGACAACAGAAGCAGTGACCAGAGAGTAATCTCTTCTGCTGGCTGCTATATGAGATAGAAACGAAGGAAAGAATCATCAGGTGGAAGATGACAGGGGAAAAAAAAAGAAGGAAAAAATACGAGATGTGAAAATTGGACCACGTATGCAACCAGGACAGCAAATTGATGGACGAATTATGCCAAAAGGCCCAAAAGTACAAAAAAAATAAAAAAAATCAAGTGAAAATGCAATGAACCCAGGCTTCCTTACAAAATCAATGGCTTAATCCAATTGCAGAAATGACCTGCAGTCTCTTTAAAAGTTCTTATGCACACTTCTTCATGCGTCACTGGAGTGACATATACACCTCTGCGTGTGTGTGAGAGAGGGAGGGCGGGAGGGAGAGAGCTCGGTAACCTTCACATGTGTGTGCACACACCTGTGTGTGTATGTGTGTGTGTGTGTGTGTGTGTGTGTGTGTGTGTGTGTGTGTGTGTGTGTGTGTGCGTNGGGGGGTGTTGGTGGTGTTATTAGCGGTTCTGGACCCTGCCCCCCCGATTTTTTTTTTTTTTTTTTTTAATTATTATTATTATTTTGCTGGGTGCCGACAACCCCCGACCGGTAGGTGCCGACCAGCCGATCGGTCGGCGGGTCGGCAGCCGATCAGTCAAGGGCTGCCAACCGTCGGAGGGTCCAACACTGCCATACGTTGTATTCGGGGGAAGAAGGTAGTGTCACGGACAGTCATTATAGCTGTACTGGCAGCATCTTCCAGTCTGAAAAAAAGTAGTAAAAACAGCAAAAATGACCCTGTGTGCCAATCATGCAAGTTGATGCAAAAACTGAGCTAGGCCCTTTCGCCTTCCCCCACTTGTTGTTAAAAAAAAAAAAAAAAAAAGCTGACTGGAAGTCGCAATTCGAAAAAAAAGAAAAGGGACAAAAAAAGCCTCAACCGGGTATTCCCCAGTGCCCCTGACAAGGCCCTGCCTCTGGTTTGGCAGGCCCTTTTCTTTTCACACTGATGAAAGATGATTGATATTTAATTTACAGCTTGTTTGCTCGGACTGTTTGCATCGTCTTTTTTTTTTTTTTTTTTTTTTTTTTTTTTTTTTTTTTTTTTTTTGCTCGGAGTGTTTGCATCGTTTGAGTGCCCTTCGACTGCATATGTGGTTCCTATTGCCTTCCTCTGGGTTCACAGGCCCTGCAGGCAGGTCCAGTAGCCTAACTAAAAGAGCTTTAAACCGCTAGTACACGGCCCCAGCCGTGTGGATATTTGCTGCTCATCACCTCCTCCAGACATTTCACGCCTCGGGCCTTCAGCGCCACAATGGCTGGCGGCACCAGCCAAAAAAGAGAAAAATTGCGCCCCTGGCGGTTCGGAAAAGCTTGTTTGTTGCGCAGTGCAACGCCTCCAGGCCCGGCCTTGCAGAAATTTGTTTGTCGCCCGCTCCAAAAAATTTTGCGGCTCGGCCTACTGGACCACAATGGGCGGCAGCGCCAGCCAAGAAAGAAAGAAAGAGAGCTGCTGGCGGTTCCGAAAAGCTTGCCGCGCAGCGCTGCATTGGTAAAAGCTTGGCGCACAAAGCAGCAGGTGGACTGTGTGCCAAGCTTTTCTGAGCCACCAGCGGTGCACTGTTTTTCGGTTTTGGCTGGTGCTGCCAGCCATTGTGGCACTGTAGGCCCTGGCGGCAAACTTTTCGGATTAGGTGATGAACAAATTTCTTTCTTTTTTTTTTTTTTTTTTTTTTTTTTTTTTTTTTTTTTTTTTTTTCTTTGGCTCCATCACCACCCAGACGAAATATATTACCAGGTTTGAATCCCCCTACATTTGCATGATTGATACAGGGTAACAGGGTGCATGCCGCATGGTGCTTCATTTCACCAGCAACCCAATCGGCCAGCGGCGAGAACAGGACCGTTGTGTTTTTTTTTTTTTTTTTTTTTTTCTTTTTTTTTTTTTTTTTTGCAACAAAGAATAATAAAACCTCCCCTGGGTCGCTGAGGTACAAATTTCTGCAAGGCAGGGGGTGTGTTTGGAAAACAAAGAATAACAAAACCTCCCCTGGGTCGCTGAGGTACTGATAAGAGCAGCAACCTCTAGCGCCCTGAGGGGAGACTCCATCTATTGGTGGGGAGTGTCACTTGGTGGAAAACAGGTCCAGCGTCCCCTGAACAACAGATGAGTGTGTCTGAGAACAATGGTGTGTGGCCTGCCAGCACTGGTTGCCCTGTAGCAGCAGGGGATGTACTGAGCAGGCTTTGAGAAACAATTCAGCAACACTGGGGCTGGGGGGGGGAGGGTCTCGTGCAAACAGAGAACCAACAATACATCTACCCATTCTCCCCCCGAGCTAAAACAGTTGCTGCAGGGTTCACAGGCAATTGAGGGCCACCCGCATCAGAGTTTGGACAGGCCGGGGTCCCCCCTGGGCAACAAGCGGTCGTACCAGCTTGGCTCGACCAGGGCATTATGGGGGGTGGGAAGGAAACGGTCAGGAAGGTTCTCAGGGGGAGGGAGTGGGATGACTGGGTCAATTGCAGTCCATTTTCTGAAACACAAACGATAGTCTTTGGGACAAGGGCCCTGCTGGTCACCATGCTCCCATCCCCCCCATTCCACTTGCGCAATCCCACCCCCCCCGATACCCCCCCAGCCAATCCTTGCAGAACACAGTTACAATGCGTATTAAGTCCGACTTCAGCTTTTGGCGAAACAAATGCCCATTGTTTTGCTCTAATGCCTGTTTCTACTTCAGCACAGATCATCTCTGTGACTTCTCTGTCGCCAATGTGCGCTCCTTCTGTGGTCAGGATGGAGCGACGCCACCAGAGGGCCCACAGCACCCACCGCCTTTCTACCAAGGTCAAAAGGATTCCTGGAGAAGGCGTCAACTTGGGCCTCCCAGTGACCGCACAGCAGAGCCCTCCAATCCCAGGGCCATTCGCAGGCCGTGCCCAGCTGCTGCCAGGTCCGGGACCACCAATGCCTGTTTTCCAATTCTTAGCCTCCTGATCGCCCCACAGGTCACCCACTCTGAGCACCCCATTTCTTACCCAGGTGGACCATGGTGCCTGCGAGCTGGGGAAGACACATCGATGTCGGTCTGTGATCGTCCTATTCCCAAAAAGGGGTTGCCGCGCCACCTCTTCCCAGGCGGGGGGGGGGCGGGGGTGTCGTCTATCAGGGAGGGGGAGTCTGTGCCATCCCTTCAACAGCTGTTGCCACAAGGGTTCATGTCTGAGGTTTGCCCTGGCCGCCGACATTGCCGGAATCCTCCAGCAGGAAGCTCCAGGCCTGGGGTTGACCAGAACAGGTTATCCAGCCAAGTCGGGGGATGTATGTCAGGCGGGGCGGAGCTTCTGTGGCGAGTCTAACTAACTGTTTGAGTGCCAGGGGCTACCATATGAGGATGGGGTTGAAGATCAGGCGCTGCAGCCATTGCGATGAGAGGGCAACAGCTTGGGTACCTGGGGGTCCAAGATCCCTAGGCCGCCCCAAGCTTTTGGTTTCAAAACTGATGCCCAGGCCACACGGCTTATCACCCTGTCAAGCTCGTAATTGCCACACCAGAGGAAGGCTGCAATTTGGCCTTTCAGTTGAGCAGTTGCGTGCTGGCTCATCGGGCAGATTGCAGACTTACACCAAAGGTTTGCCAGCACTACATTATTTAATACAAGCGCCCTGCCGAAGAGCGAAGTGTGGTTCTCCTGCCAGCTGGATAGTTTTTGGAGCGCTGACGCCGAGATCCATGTGTCGGGATGAGTGGCTGGTTTTCCAAGGGCCGTCAATTGGATACCCAGGATCGGAACGGGGGTGGAGTCTAAAGGGCCCCAAGTGATCCCATGATCTTCCGTTGGCCTACCACCACTGTGATGAAGCCACCAGCCTAGCGTCTTATTCCCCCAGTTGATAGACATGCTGGATAAGGCGCAAAAGCGGTCCAAAATGTCTCTGATTACCTCCAGGTTCGGTAAGCTTTCGCAGGGGCTGGGTGTACTGGTTGTTAAAACCGTTAGTACACGGCCCCGGCCATGTGGAGAACCATTTGTCACCTACTCCGGAAAAGTCGGAGCCGGCGCACCATCGATAACATATGTTGGCGGCTGGCATCGCGCTTCAGCCTCCGAATGAGGCCTGCAGCTGATGTAGGGCATGAACTGGTGGTTTAAGAGCGCTTCAAGAAATCCATGGTCATGAAGTAGCTGCTCCGAACGGGGCCCGCAACCGAATGTGGTTGATCATTTTGGCTCAGATCGTGGCACAATGATTTTGATAATTTTTGCTTCTAGGACCGATATGTGTGGCTGCCAGGATTTCAGCTCATGATCTGTCGTCCTTCAAGAGCTCTAGCGGCAAGTTGTATTCACCAGATGGCTTCAGGATTTGAACTCGCGATCTGTTCATCAGGACCGATATGTGTGTGCCATTCAGCCACAAAGGAGGTTGGTACATCTACAGGCCTGATGACAGAAAAGGGAATGGAACTCAGCAATGGAGAATCAATGCGCCGGAGTTCATAATGGTGGGAAGTGGCAACATGGATATAGAAGATAGCTTACAAATATGTAGGTGTGAAGTGTGAAGGGGGAGTTGGAGCAGAAGAGATCACAAAGGAAAGAGGCACATCAGGGGTGCCTTCTGGTTCAGGGACGAATGGGTGCACATGGGAAGACTGGGGGGCAGGTGTCGTTATACCGAAGCCATTTCTGACGTTCTCTCTTACGAGGAATGGCGAATGGACAGGCGAGGGAGGGGGGGGGGGGGGGGGGGGGGTAACATATGGTTGTGGTGGGCTAAGCAAGGACTCAAGGGGCAAGAAAAAAACTGACTGGCAGGTTGGATGAGTGTATTTCTAGTAGCTGAGAACTCAGATACCGTGAGGGACTGCAGAGCCGAGGGAGGACCGGCAATCCAGGAAAAAAAAAGAAAGAAAAGAAAAACGAGGGACCGGGTTGTACTAGCTTATCCCCAATGCTGCTCAGGACTTTCTTGTTCCCCCCCAGCAAAAACACATTCACTGTGTAAAACAATCCCTCTGCTGTTGGGCAAGAGACTCGACACATCCTGTAATTACTAGTACGTATTTCTCTCAAACATGCTAAAAAAAGATGTGAAGGTAACAATGAGGCCGTATGTATTGTGCCTACCTCATGCTGATAAGGCGGTCGCTTCATGTTTGCGCCAACTTCGGCCTCGTTAAGTCGCAAGCGCATTCTCCTGTAGCTGTCCCCGCTATTGTCGGATCCGCCGTCGTGAAGCAGCCTTTTTGTTCCACGGGTTCGGCAGCCGGGAGACCGCCGTTCGTCACCACCACACTCATCTGCTTCATCGGCTGCACCAAAGCCGCTCTTGATGGCAGCAGAATCTTCCATGTGCAGCCCATTTTCTCTATGATGAAGAACTCCTTCAGCTTCGGCCTCAGCCTCAAGACGGAGTCGGTGCCGTCTTTCCAAATCCAGTTTACGAGTCAGCTCTTCGATTCTCTCCTTCTCTTTTCGGAGTCCTTCTTCAAGGGCGATCCTTTTGTTCTTTTCCTCCTCCAACGACTCTTGCCATGCGTTTGTGCATTCCATCTCAGCCGTAAGAATCTTCTGCATGGACGTTCCTCGCCATGTCGCCCTCCTTCCGTTGCAGCAAAGATCAGCCACACAGCAGCTGCAACAACTGCCACTATGGCATCGCCGTGCCCACCTCCTCCGCCCCGCAGGCATAACCTCCGCTGCATCTTCTGAGTCGGTTGGGGTACCGAAACACAGCTTTCGGGATGACCGCGTTCGTCGCTCGTGTCCTCCTCCCCCTCCCACCACGCCCCCCCCACCACCTATCTTTTCCTGATGCTGGATTACTCCCACCCCCTCGGTTACATCTCCTTCGTCGTCCACATCTCGGTAATCGACCCCAAACCGCGCTTCCTTGTGTTCGCCCCACGAATGCGATGTCCTCGCAGAACCATCTGGTGAGCAGTGCTCCTCATGTCTCCTATGTGACGCATCATGCTGGTTATCTCTTTGCGCCACGTCCATCTCATTTAGGTCATGCGCCATCAGGGGGGAGGCGTCATTCTCCTCTCTTCGGAAATCATCTGCCCGCTTTTCCTGTACCAGACGTGAAGTGGGATGGAAAAACCGCATGCACACCTTGCTGTCAGCTGAATGGCTGCATGCTACGTATCACACATTGCTCTGGCCAGGAGAGAGCAACTCCCTCGCTGCACCACTCACCAACAAGCGAACAGGACAAAAAGATGGAGGCTGTCTCTCTCCGCTTCTAGGCGGCAGATACATGCTCCACTTCCAACACATTTGGTGAGCAGTGCGGCTAGGCCCCAACAGTCGAAGGCTGGAAGCCTACTGTCGTAAATAACTCAGGACTCAAGGGAAAAAAAAAAAAAAAAAAAAAAAAAAAATAAAAAAAAATCAGGACTATACCAGTTCACACCATCCAAGTCAATGAAAAATGTAACAGTCTTTAAAAAAAAAAAGAAAAAAAAACCTGTAACAGTCTTAGTAGTGTCTTACCTGTAGTACTATGGGTCTTCACCCGAATAGAATGTGGAACGGTCATCACAGCTGTATTAAGGGCAACTTTTGGTCCAGATACAGCGATAATGATCGGCGTTCCGTTCCAGTGAAGACGGCAGGTCTATTGTTGTCCCGAGCTTACAGAGCACTTGTGCACAAAGGAGGAGACATGACAACAAAGCTGTAATCGTTGGCATTTTGTCGCACTTTTTTTTAATTTTCTTCTTCTTTTTCATTTTGTCGCACAGTCAACCCCTAAGGAGCAAACCACAGATTAACATCTGTCAAAGGGACGCTGGACCCGGTTTCCAGCAGGTGCCGCTTCCCACTAATAGATGGAGCAGCCCGACAGACAAGCCCTCAATTTTGGCGGTTCTCGTACCACCGCTGAGATACCCACACTAGCACTTTGGCAGATGTATATGATGGAGGCCCTGTGACATGTCAAATCCGTCAATTCACAGGGTGTTTAAAAAAAAAAAAAAAAAAAAGAGTGTTGCAACACCCAAACCAAACACGATAGAAAACGAAAACCAAGGGGCCTTGCTCATGCATTTGGACACTTTCTGGACCAGGTGCAGTCGGATGAGTCCAACGTTTTGAATGTATCCGAATGATTGTCAGGTCCAGATACATATAGAGTGGGGTGCAGTGGAGCGAGGCCCATGTTAAGGGAACACAAACACCCCCCCACATGCCCACATAAGACGAAACAAAGCAAACAGAAAACGCAACGGATGCTACAAAATTCCAACCAAAACCAACCGGCCTCCCTCAGACGTTCAATGCAAGTGATCAGCCACTGGCAGACATTAGGTAGAAAAATAGCACAAGACAGTTAAACCACCAGTACCTTTGCCCGCTTGAAAAAAAAAGGGCAGCGGTTAACACGGAAGTGCAGGCCCACCATGAAATGGCTGGCAGCAGCAGGCAGATACATCCCTGTGGAATTGTTTTTTGTGGCGCACAGAACATTTCAGGCCCACGGCCGATGTACTGGTGGTTTCAACCACCAGTTCACACGTGCCTCATGGGCCTGCAACTGCGCCTTTTTCGAAGTGGCGTGCTGCGTTTGCTACCGGCCCATTTTTATTTTTTATTTTTTTCGACACAACACCCAAATGGCCTACTAGGGGCAGGGGGGGGGGGTATGAGCAGCCTCCCCAAGTAGGTCCATTACTGGCCGCTCCAAACGGGTCCAGCGTCCCTGAGTACATAAAAGAGTTTGAATGGTACACAAGTGACGCCTGAGCAGTTTGACTGAGACCATCTAGAATACTGAAAGCTGATCAGCTAGGCCACAAGGCCACAAACTCTGTGTCGGGTACACTGCTGGTTTAAACCACATTACTGGCCGCTCCATCTATTGGTGCGGAGCATCACCTGCTGGAAAACGGGTCCAGCGTCCCTGAGTACATAAAAGAGTTTGAATGGTACACAAGTGACGCCTGAGTAGTTTGACTGAGACCATCTAGAATACCGAAACCTGATCAGCTAGGGCACAAGGCCACGGACTGTGTGTCGGGTAAACTGGTGGTTTAAACCACCAGTACGTTTCCTATATATCGGGAGCGGGCGGGAATTCGAGGCCAAGACGAAAAACGGGCCGCCGATGACATTATCAACAGTGGCCCTTTCCCCATTGGCTTCCGAATATGACGGCGCGTTTCTGCATGATGGCTGCAAAACGTACTGGTGGTTTTTAAGGGTCTAGACTCTAGAGTAGAAACCACAAACATCAACTTATTAGCTGACAGGTAGTTCTTCCAAAGGGAAGCAGATCTTCCTCACTAATAGATGGAGCCTACCTGAGAGCAGCTTGAGATGTCTGCTCCTACCAGCATCTCAAGCTGCCTCTGGAGATTGTTTCCAAAAAAAAAAAAAAAAAAAAAAAACGGCTGTCAAAATCCGATTTGATACCTTCTTTAAAGTTCTTTTGTTTCCAGCATCAACGAAAAACGGGCCGCCAATGACATTTATCAATGCTCTCACTGGGTTATGAACCTGGCAGATAGCTCTATGGTCCAGTTAGGTTCTAGGGCCCGTCTTCACCCGAATAGAATGCCGGGTCAGCAGTATCGCTGCATCTGCACGGAAAGTTGCCCCAAATACAGCTACAATTACAAGGCGTTCTGTTCGGGTGAAGACGGTTGGCCAACGCTGTATTCGTGGATGTTACAAGACTGGATGTCTCCTCTTTTTTTCGCTTTCATCTTGTTGCGGAAACCTGTTACGGCGCTTACAGGGGGACCTGTTTCCCTTTTTCTTAGCCGAAAATAGTGATGGTGGTGCGCTGTGTATGTGGTTGGGCTTCTTTTTTTTTTTAACTTCGTTGGAGGGGACCACTTGAGGAGGTGATACGAGCTCCCTCCTAAAGTGCCTCTTCGCTTGAAGGCTCCATCTATTGGTGAGGGAGCTGCTATTGACATCTTATTGGTTGGTTGAATGGTTCTCAATCACAGGCGGCCGAGTTGCTGAGAAGCCGATGAAGCGAGGAGGTGAGGTTTGGAGAGAGGGGGGGTGTATTCAAGGTTTGTCAAGGGTATGGTGTTCCTCTTCCGTTTGGCCTTGATCGTGTTTGTTCGTCTTCATATCTGTCTGATTGTGTATTAGTACTGTGGGACATAACTAACAATCCTGATTCTGTGATCCCTAGTTCTTAGTCAACTAACAATCCTGATTCTGTGATCCCTAGTTCTTAGTCCTTTTGAGATGCGGTAGTTTGCACTTTTTTGGATTGTTTGTGTCGGATTTAGATTCGCTTGTTTTTGCGCACATATCCTGATCGCTGTCTGCCTTGATAATTGGTAATTCTGGATTACTATCAGATTGCACTTTTTCGAGTGTCTAGATTCGCTTGTTTTTGCACACATATCCTGATCGCTGGATTACTATCAGTACGATTCCTGGGACCTTGGAGTCCTAGGAATCTGAATCGAAAGTCCCTTTGGACATCACATATTACTTTCTCTGATTCACTATCACAACGATTCCTGGGATCTTGGGGTTCTAGGAATCTGAATCGAAAGTCCTTGGACATTACAGTTGATTCCTTCACTGCTTTCAATTTCATTTCTAAATCTATGACTTTCGAAGTCATTCTTCATTTGGAATAATTCCAAATCTAATCTTAGACCTGTCACTCGTTTTAGTTCTAATCTCTATAAGATGTTTTAGATAGAATTTCTGAATTTGGTTTTCTATTACCATCTTCCAAATTAGGTTCTGAAGGATTTTTTGACTCCAAAAATCACGGGATAGAAGTTGGTGGAGGGAAGAAAGGGATTCTCAACAGAGGAGGGTATTCGGTCAGGGTAAGTAGTTAGTAGGACGGCGTTGGGACGACTCAGGCCGGTGCTGGAGCTGGTGCTCTGTGACCCAGGGGGAGCTTGAGGCCTGCGAAGTTATACCCAGTGCATAACCAGACCGTCCGACGACGCTGGCGCCGGGTATTGACCCTGTAACCTGTTTGGGGCTTGCCGCTGCAGGAACTGTCGAGGGAGGAAGGCACTTCCTGACCGTCAGAACGAGGTTGGTCGGTACTGGGGAGGGTTGTGGTGCCCTGTTACCCTAGCAGTAGGGGGTA